CCAGTTTTCGTACATTCTTCTAATGGCTGTCTCTATTTCTCGGTGTAGTGTGTCCCTTTGGCCCTCCTCTTTTCCCTTAACGGTGAGGGTTCCATATAAGGGCTTGTCCTGCGACGCAGTTCGGTGCTTTTCGTAGTGTGTGTCCTATCCACTTCCACCGCTTCTTCATGATTTCCTCCTCCATTGGAGTCTGGTTTGTTCTTTTCCCACAGTAGGTTTTTGCTGATGTTGTCTGGCCAACGAATCCGAAGTATTTTACGAAGACAACTGTTCATAAATACTTGTATCTTCTAGATGATGGCTTTAGTGTATTTCTTCAAGTTCCCACCTCATGCAGCAGAAGTGTGTTGATATGTGTATTGAAAATCTTGAGTTTGGTGTTGGTTGACAGTTGTTTTTAGTTCTAGGTATTCTGTAGTTGTACAAATGCTGGTTTTACTTTCCCGATCCACGCCTTCACATCTGCATCATATCCACCCTGCTTGTCGATGATGCTGCCTACACATGTAAAGGATTTCACATCCTCTAAGGTATCTCCATCAAGAATGATTTGGTTGGTGCATGTTGTGTTGCATCGGAGAATCTTGCTTTTCCTTTTATGTATGTTGAGACCTGCTGCTGCAGAGAGTGCTGCTACACTGGTCGTCTTCTTCGTCTTATTGTTGCGTGTGCGGTAGAAGAGCCAGATCATCTGCGATGTCCAGATCGTCCATCTATGTCCTAGCTGTCCACTGAATACCGTGCTTCCCTACAGTCGATCACCAGGAGTTTGTTGAGTTCCGTTGAAATCATGAATGAATCGTTTTTAGACCACCATTAGAAACCTGAAAGAAGTGAACGGCCTTCAAGTCCTAGATTAGGTATGGGACTGATCAGCATTGAAGATCCACGACAGGTGCTGGAGGGGATCGAACCCAGAACCTTCGACCTCAAACGCGAATTGTAAACATCCCGACCACTGAGTTGGCATCCTACAGTGGTAATGTTCAACTTAAGGTTTTATGCAATATCACCCATTTGTCTTGTGTAGTTATTGCCTACACCTAACAGGGTTGAATTCCATTACTCAACATACGTGAGACGGTTTCCGGAAAATTTGTTTTGGGAAAAATGTGTCATTTCACTTAAAAATAACCTTTAAGTTAGACGATAAAAGAGTATTTATAAATTGCTATCAATGAACAAATAAGAATTTGTACCTGGTATTATTTACACTAAAGTAGATAATCCATTTCTATTATTCTAAGTCATCATCATCCTAATGGAAAAGAGTTGAAAGAATTTCTTAAAACCTCCACCTGGAGCCCCTCTGAGGTTACTGTAGGACCCAAGCAACAAGAGAGGAAGAGGGCTGAACATGCTGTTAGTGACCTCATTACGTTGAAAAGTAACTCGCTATAAAAATCCAGAAAAACCAGAGAAAATAATTCAAACCATCTTGTCGTGAAGAAGGAAAATTTACTTACTTACTGTTACCCCTAATGGAGCATAGGCCGCCCCCCAGTTTTCTCCAACCAACTCTGTCCTGGGCTTCCTTCTCCAGTTCTGTCCAATGTTTGTTCATTCCTCTCATATCTTTCTCTATGTCTCGGCGTAATATGTTCCTTGGCATTCCTCTTTCCCTTTTACCTTGAGGGTTTCATGTGAGGGCTGAAGAAGGAAAATACTGATCTATAAATTGATTCTATGGTTGATTCCGGTTAAAAAACCTTGTAACTAGAAAAAAATACAGATGAGTTGCGCACAAGAAATCTTTCAGTCAGTAAACTTGTGTTTCGTAAAATCGGGAATTTTGAAGTTAGAATTCGGTCATTAAGTAAAGATTTTAAATCGGTTAACGAGGTTGTAAATTTTCATTAGTTGAGGTTGTTATGGAACGTTTTATGTATGCCCAACGATTGTCTACCTTGACGTGTGGTGATAGCTAATGTAAGAATAAGTTAGACAAAATCTATCAGTAACCAAACTAAAATGTTGTATCATTCCATGAACCCATGGACTGTTGGTTTAAGTTAACGTTAACAGATGCAGACTGCCTGACTGGAATCTAACTGATAACGACGGTCAATCGCTGAAGACACTGAACGATATGGCTAAGAACCAATCACAGAAGCCTAGTTACACTCAAATCTCATTTTTTTAGTTAGATACCATGTTCTAGTATTTCTTCTCATATAACTTTTCAACCAATCTCTTTTTCATTAACATTGTTACAATGAACGTTTCGACTGCTTCACTGTTAACATTGTTACTTTCATTTTGTTGAACTAATATGGTTTATGAAATTAGACCAACACTCATATTAGTTTCAGGCTTTATGTGCATTCTAAATGACCAGTTGGTGAAATTTGACTGTTTCTGAGGTTTTACAATATTCTTTTAGTCATATCGATAAGGATAAAATGTTAATTTCAGTGAACTAATTAGCAAATTTCCTACCAGTTAACAAACGGTGAGTAGTTTGAAGTTGAAAACCATAGATTTACACCATTTTCATTGAAATCGTCGATCGATCAATGTTAGACCACTATTAGCAGTTCGCATTCACAACTGGTGAGTCCCATACCGGGGCATCCAGTGCTTCCAGGTTGCTAATAGTAGCCTAACATTGTTCTCAATGCATTATTTCAACGAAACCCAACAATCACCACAACCCTATAGTGGAAATGATACCATTTTGATAAATTTCTCAATGAAATTAAAAAAGCTAAAGAATAGTTCAATTATTCCAGTTATCTTCAATGTCCTTCAGTTGGATCGGTAGATAAAAGTTCACTAGCGTGAATACAATTCACAACTGTTAGACTATCGAAGTTCAGTATACTCAATGACGCTCTTGGCAAGACTATAATTTATGGTTGAACGAATGAACGAAACTCATTCATTATATGACCATATAGCTTTTTAGCATTATAATTTATTGGACTCATGAATCGATCGATAGTTGGTCAGTTGATTAAAGTTAGACATTAACACCGTTGAATGCCGACTCACTGGCCTGGAGGTTAAGTGTTCGTACACTAGACCGTAAGTCCTGAGTTGGATTTCCGCTAGCTAGTGTCATGGATGCGCTCTGCTAAAGTGTTCCATAATAGGGTGAAAAAGCCGTCCAATGCATACAGGTTTCTAATATTGGTTTAATAATAATAATCGATTCATGATTTCACTGAAATTCAACAACCTTCACAACTCTATTATGAAAATCATAGCTTATGTAAGTGAAGAAAACTTTAGCTTCACTTTGTAACACTAATGTTAATTCTAATTTTGGACACTCTTTTGACCCTTGTAACTAGATGAATACTCTAAAAGTCATTTTGACATTTCTCGACTGTCGTCCATGAATTATCATCTGTTCATGTTCTTTGACCGATAAAAAATAATCTTAAGTAAGGCTAGTGTGCAATCGTAATTCCGCATCTCTCTCTAGCTCGATATCCAGTCATATATCACTTATAATTCAACACTCATTCGCTTATATACATTGATCACTAGACCATAACACACCATAAGTAGGCGAACTTCGTCTGGACATTCAAAATTGATATACAACTAAATGATCAGTGATAGTTTAAAATGTGTGGAAGGTATAATCAACTGTTAATATTATCAAATAAAAGCTTATCAATAGAACAATATGGAAATACTACAAAGCAATTATTTCATAACTAGCCAGACTTGTTTGAGCAAGTTACTTTTCTACTGAATGAAGTCACTAAACCCATGCCCAAACCCCTTCCTTTCTCCGGGCTTGGGAACGGCAATAACCTCAGAGGGGCCTCGGGTGGAGTTAACTAGATATTAAGACTAATAATAATAATAATAATAATAATAATAATAATAGATATCAAAGTTCCAACATCCCTACTATCTAATCCGTTTCAACTAACTGAGTGCAGTTTAACTTCACTTTGCTAATCGATGTTCAATGTTCAGTATAAATTTTTCGATTTACTTATAACCATTTAAAGATAAAATTTGTTTGATTAATAGTCAGTGAATAACTAATTAAATTTGTTAAAAAAACACTAGACTTTTAAAACAGTGGTTCCCTTTGATAAATTTGAATAGAGAAATGAGAAGACATATTTTGTGAGATAGTACCATTTCGTGCTTTCTCTTCAGTCACATACAAGCAACATGTTATTTGTGTAAATACAGTTTTGAAGATAAGGTCAAAATTTCTTATTTAGCATGACATTCACTCACTAGAACCACAGTTGTTTTTGAACACATAAAGTTGGACTTTTCCGACCAATCAAGATAGCTTCGAGTAGTTTCAGTGTGTGTGTGGGTTTTGATTACATGTCACAGCTTTAAAGGCTGATTTTGGGTCAATTTGATGACCACTCATCATTAGATGTTTTGCAATGGACGAGGCTGGGTTTCTCGATCGATTTTGAGATGACGGGCTAGATGGTGGATGAATCATGGATTTGATTAACCATTGTGGAATATGTTCCCCTATCCTGTCTTCCAATCGGCGATCTGTCCTCCCTCAGTAACTTTCTCCGCAGTTACATGTGGATTGGTAATTACAGTGGGATTTGGACTGAATCGGTCTTGGAGACTTGATTGGTGTAACTGAGATCGATTGAGTTGTTGTGATAAGCCTCAGATTAGCTGCATTGAAGGTCTATTTTATTGCAGCTGCAGTCTGTTTGGTTGTAATTTTCATGCAATGATCACCCTTGAAAGGTAACTGTAGGTACACTGGTTTCTTGGGTACATCAGTTGCTATCAGTTTCGTCGTAGTTGTGTTCTGATGACCAATAAACGTTTCGGGATATCCGTTTAATTTAAGTGTCTCAGTAATCAGCTTGAATTCGTCGTTCAATGTATCAACAGTGCAGATTCTACTTGACAACAGAACTTTTATATTGTATGGGGCAGAAACTATTGAAGTGGAGGTACTAGATTTTTAAGCATTAAATTTATTTATTTTATAGTTATTTGATTGTTACTTTTCACTGTTTTTCTTCTTTATTGTTGTATTTTAGAAGATCAAGATACCGATCCATTTCTACTGACTAAAAATGTAACACTCCAAAAAGATACAGATATTCGTACATATTATAATATTGGAGTTTATTTGGGCAGGTTAGTCTTGAATTATTTATATACACTTTGACATAAATATTTTTATTTTTTTAATACAGAGTTATGGAGAGTGTAGTTTATTACTGAAATCATGAATCGAATGAAAGAGGTCGCGCAAAATCCTTAGAATTAGACATTAAACACTGTTGACTGACAGCACAGTGGTCCAGAGGTTAAGCGTTTGCGCTTGGTCCTGGATCCGAATCCTGGGAGAGTAGCAGGAGTTGTGGATGCGCACTACCACTGATGAGTCCCATTCCAGGACGAAATGGCCATCTTTCAGGCTTCTAATGATGGTCTAACATTGATCGATTCATGATTCCAGTAATATTCTCTCATTATGCTATGCTAATCAGTTATATCACATACATTATTCCAGAATAATAAGAATGATGAAGATAGACTTATGTTTTTGTGGTGTATTCTCTCAGTTGATTTATTATTTCATAGCCCAGCTTTATTTGTCTTTTTGCTTTAGTGAAGATTTCAGTAGTCGGTCTGATAGTGTTGTGAACGAAAATTACAGAGTTACTCAGTTAAATCGGAAAACCATATCGTAAATCGTTCATTTGCAAAATATCAGTTCATCATATCGAACTGGACTGTTCCTGTTGCAAAACATCAATCCATTGTCACTCACTATTCATGCGTTTCATACAAATTCCATTGTGTTCTAACTCTTCCTTTCTTGATCTTCCCCCATCTTCTGCTGCCAGACATTACGTTGACACTCACGTCATATACTACTTATAAGTAGCTCACACCACAATAGAGAGTAATCAAAATGGCTAGAAACATTAGAAACTGACAAAGTATTTGAAAACAAGTTATCATCATTGATGTGATTGAAATATATATATTGATTTGCTTTTTTTAGACTACATAAATTGTATTTATCACAAATTGATTTCAGTTAGAGTACCATTGAAAACCGGTGGGCAGTCAGACAGCTATTTCTTATCCTAGTATAGGATTGCTCAGTAGTTCGTATACACTCCAATACATCAGAAATAATTTCATAGAGCTTAGTTTAACTTCAAGTGTGATAAGTTGATAGTTAATCTATCCAGCGCATGGAACGTACTGCCATTAATAGTGTGTAAACTGATTTTTTTGACTAAAATCTAGACCTGTGTTTTTAGCAATTTTCCTGGTTAGCGCTTTTTAGCGAGTTAGTTTTTTATGGGATGGGGCCACCGACTCTCCTCCTTTACTGGGGCTTAGGACCGGCGGTAGCCCTAGAGGGGCTCCAGGCGGAATTTAAAATCTAAACCTAGGAATCAAAATAACATGAGTACTTAGATACAGAGGGAGAATATGAAATTATTTCCTGTTTGGTCACAATATACTATGATCATACGATAAGTACGACCGAGACTATGATTTATATCACTGCTTAGTTCGATACCCTATCGATACGTATATATCGATACATAGATGAGATCATGTTATACTAGATGCATGACTCACAGCCAAGAATAAGGAACTAGATTATGGAATAGATAATAATTTCTCCAACACAATTATAATAAATCAGCATCCAGTGATTTCTGAGTACAAATCAATAATAGGAAAAGGAATCACAGTAAAGCCAGTGAGCTGAAAGTTATTCTACATTCACCAGTGGCTAATTACGTTTGATTTCACTAGCCACATATTAAATTAGTAATTGTACACTGTTGTATAATGAACAGTGGCTTTTTGTTTCGTGGTTACTGGAATTTTTGAGACAACTTTTTTCATAGGTTGACTACACTTGGGAGAACTATTGAAAAACCTAAACTAGCATGACAAGTCTTTCATTGAACTACAGAATCATGAATCAGTCATTATTAGACCACTATTAGAAACCTGGAAGCACTGAAAGACGGCCGTTTCGTCCTGGTATGGGACTCATCAATGGCAGTGCGCATCCACGACTCCTGCTACTGGCTTAGGTATTCGAACCCAGGACCTTCGGTCTCACGCGCGCGAACGCCTGACCTCTGGACTGCTGATGAGTCCCATACGAGGACGCAACAACTATCCGGCGTTTCCATGTTTCTAACGGTGGTCTAACAGTGATTGAATGATAATTTCAAAGTGCGAAAAACAATAATCTCCATAACTCTAATTGAAAAACTAAAGTACACAACTTTGAAGAGTAACCATATGATTTCACCAGTGATCAAACTCAAAAACTTTCAAATCTTTACATTTACACCACTTTACTGTAGGCCAATCATTCACACTTACAACTACAGCCAACTTCAGTATTTAAGTTATTGCTAAGTACAATGGAATAGCAATAAACAAATACATTTGATCATGATGGCGTTCATTAATTATCTGGAAATATATGTTGATTATGAATATGAGATATGACTTTTTTTCTTTGAATTAGTTACTTAATTCATTACACATTTTTTGAAACCATGGATCGATCAATGTTTGACCACCATTAGAAACACAGAAGCACCGGACGTCCGTTTCGTCCTGGTATGGGACTCCTCGGTAGCAGTGCGCATCCACGACTCCTGCACCCCGCAGTATCCGAACACAGGACCTTCGGTATTGTGCACGAATGTCTAACCGTTGGACCACTGAGCCAGTATCTAACGGTGTTAATGTCTAACTTGACCAAATTCACGGAGTTGCACAACCTCATACACAGTCTTCGGTAGTTACTGTCTACACCCGAACAGGTTGAACTTCACTGTTCACGTCTTCCCACTAGAACTCGGAGAAGATTCTTCACGAATCTAGTCACTAGTGAGCACAGGTAATTTGCATTACGGGGTTGTGAAGATTGTTAAGTTACACATTTTCGAAACCATGAATCGATCAATGTTTTACCACTGCTGAGGATTCCCATACCAGGACAAAATGGCCGTCCAGTGCTTCCAGGTTTCTAATGGTGGTCTAACATTGATCGATTCATGGTTTCGAAAATGTGAAACTTAACAATCTTCACAACCACGTAATTAATTCATTGCAAATGATACTTTAGCGATCAACGATTTGACTCCAATTTAGACGAACCAATGAATATGCAATGGAATGAATCTTAACTTCAATTTCCGTTCAGTATGTTTAGGCAAACCACATTTATGAGATGGTGATAATCAAAAGCCAAATACGGATTCGATTGGATGAGTTCAGATCAAGCAATCGTGCACGCAAACAAACATGAGAATAAAACGCTTAAAAGCAAAGCGAAGTGCAGAAGGCGAGTAAGCCAATTGAAAGCATTGAGCACGGTTAGGTATTTATAGTCAGACTAAAATAGGCTAGACAATGTGACTGGCGAAATAAGCTATACAGCTCGCACTCGAGTAAAAACAATCCAGAATTTAGCGGCGAAAAAATTAACAAGGTCGAAAGGCGTGCAAATAGTAGCTAAATCAGAAGAGGTTATTAAGTTTACTGAAAAGCTAGGACAAACTATGCAAATCAACGAATGAAGGATTGAAATTTCATCAGTTGAGGTGGTTGGGACATGTTTTACGAATGCCCGACCGCTCATTAATTACCCCGTCGAGCTATGTTTTACCGTGCAGGAATAGGTTGGAAGGAAGCTAAAGGGCGGCCAAAACTAAACATTGCACAAATACATAAAGTCACTGACAACTGGATTGAGTCATTTTGGGAGGTGTTAACTAAACTCGTTGAGGCCCACGAGATGATAATAATCGATGGTTAGAGACTCTGAATGACATGGCTCAAAACCGTTTGCAATGGCACAGGTGAATTCATTCTTTGTGTTCTCTCGATTCCTAACCTTCTTGATTCCTTATCACCTTTGTCTTTTTCAATTTAAGTGTATTTCACTAGATTCTACTTTTTGAATACTATCCTCGAACCCTAATCTTTTTGATTATCTCTAATACTTTTACTACCTCTACTACTATGAGATTTGAAGTGACATTTGAATCTCTGTGCTGCTAATGTGGTATGGCAACTTGAACTGGTGTACGTACGTACGAAGTTCTACCTTGTAACTGATTGAATGAGAACAAGCTGTATGTGTTCAACATACTACTGTACACACAATACAACTCACTTATAAAGTACCAACTAGTTTGTCTTTAGATATTTTCTAGTATTATCGAAAATTTCGACAACAATACGATTGATTTTTTAAATTTAACTTGCTGTTAAATAAACCAACAAAAGAATAATTTATGAAGGCAAAACAATCACACTTCAAGAAATCGATTACATATATCGATCGATTGATGTACTGAATGTCACGAAGTCATTAAATATGCAAGATAAGAAAATATTTGACTTTATTTCATACAACAACAATTTCATGCTTGGTACACACTATTCCCTCTACACTGACTGACAAGCAAATTGATTTAGCTAAAGTTTACTGATAAAATATCATGAATACCCCGCGAGAAAAAATCAAACACATCAATGTGGATCGTTTTGGAAAGGGCAAAATGGTAATTTATTACGACTTGAGAAAAAAATATATTTGTCAGACTATTTTCTGATTCTTAAATGTTTTTTGTTTTGTTTTTCACATTGTACATTGTACATTGAAAATTCAAACAAAATATGTGAATAATGATTTTAAAAAATGTCAATTGAATTTTTAAAGATGAGAAAATTATGACCAGAATTTATTCATTTTTGTAGATGGGTTTGAATTTAACCAGACAACTGTTGAAAATCATCATACATTATGTATGCGTGTTTTATCCATGTTAAACGATTTAGTAGCAGGAATAGTGAATACCGACCAATTGATTGAAGTTAGGAATTGAAATATCAATTCAGTGATTTTTCACTAAGATATTCGAAAATCGAATTCCCCTAGGTAGTGTCACTGAGAGGTGGGAAAAGTCTCGTCCTATGACGAAAGTACTGTCATATTCTCTAAAGATCGATCATCAAATCAGTCAGTATTTACGAACATGTAACCTATAGTTTTCCAACATGTCACAGTTTTCTTTGATAATATCGATTGACAATCACATTATATCAGGAACCCGAAAGTAGGTTGATAA